GCCCCTGCCCCAATGCATCCTTCATCCATCCCTCTCTCCCAATCTCAATACTCGTACACCCCCCCACCAATCCCCTTTTATTCCTCACTCCTTCGTTCGCTCAGCTATCCTCACTCACCCTTTCACCTTCTAGTTCATCAAGCTGGATCTTCACTATCAACCCGTCATCAACTTGTTATTGGCTTCTTATCCAATCAAACCCTTTTATCACTCTAAATGGCTATTGACCCTCGCTATCATCACTTCTTTACTTGCTATTAGTTCCTTACTTCGCTATTAGTTCCTTACCTCGCTATAGTTCTTACTCACCTGTTCTTTACTTCGCTATTAGTTCTTTACCTCGCTATAGTTCCTTACTTTGCTATTAGTTCCTTAGAGCATCCACAGTGGTGGGCTCCAAATCGAGCGAATTCAAATTTGGTGGGGCCCCAAATCAATCCGGATGCAGTCGTTCGGACTTCAAAAGTGTAGATTCTATGTGTTTACACACACTTTGAGATCGGTACGCGTGGGCTTACATGTGTGAGGTATGGGATTGAACAAGTGCGGGAATTTGGAGCCCGGCTTTTTGTTGCCAAATATGTAGCCCAAAGCTCGAAATTTGAAGCCGGCTACAAAAAAATTTGGCGATGGGGACTGCCATTGCACCAAAAAATTGGGGCTCAGTCACCAAATTTGGCGATAGCCCCGATTTGGAGCCCACCACTGTGGATGCTCTTACCTCGCTATAGTTCTTACTCACCTGTTCTTACTTCGCTATTAGTTCTTTACCTCGCTATAGTTCCTTACTTCGTTCCAGTTCTTACCTCGCTATAGTTCTTTACTTCGTGATCACTTCCTTACTTCGTTCCACTTCCTTATTTCGTTCCAGTTCTTACCTCACTATAGTTCTTTACTTCGTGATCACTTCCTTACTTCGTTCCACTTCCTTATTTTGTTCCAGTTCTTACCTCGCTATTGGTTCTCAACTCACTATAGTTCTTACCTCGCTATTGGTTCTCAACTCACTATAGTTCTTACCTCACTATCAGTTCTTACCTCACTATTGGTTCTCAACTCACTATTTTGTTCTTACCTCGCTATTGGTTCTCAACTCACTATTTTGTTCTTACCTCGCTATTGGTTCTCAACTCACTATTTCGTTCTCAACTCACTATCAGTTCTTACCTCGCTATTGGTTCTCAACTCACTATTGGTTCTCAACTCACTATTTCGTTCTTACCTCGCTATTGGTTCTCAACTCACTATCAGTTCTTACCTCACTATTACTTATTTTACTTCAGCTTGGTCTGAATGGTGAGTTCCATTCTCATATTCCTGTTTGTCACGATGCACAACTTGATGCTGATTCTCACGGATTTCAACAGGTCTAGCTCTTATTGATGGATACCACCAAGAAGCCATCAAGACCTCGTGCTAAACCGGCTGTTCGAAAAGCCAAACCTGTGACGGAGCCTACTACCCAATCTGCGACGGAGCCTGTTACCCAATCCGCTACCCAATCTGCGACGGAGCCTGTTACCCAATCCGCTACCCAATCTGCGACGGAGCCTGTGGCAGCTGACAAAATATCACCGCATGTCAAATGGGATGATGATGATGATCGAGCCATGATTGACATCTTGACCGCTGAACGCCAGCCAGCCGATGGCAAACCCATCGGACCCGAGAACACTACGACTGCTCATGGATTCAAAAATCCAACTTGGCAAGCGGTTGTCAAACGACTCAGAGGTAGCAAAAGGAAAGAAATTGATGGTGTCATTCATCTAAGTCAACCTAAAGAGGTTCAGAACTGCAAGTCCCGATGGTACATAGTAAGCTTCTTTCCTTCACTTTCTCTCTTTCTTTTTCTTTAATTATTCTTTTATTTTCATTACAAACTAATCAAACTTCTTTTTTTTGCTTTGTTTTTTTATTGCTACTCAGTTACGTGACCTTTACGCCGATTACAAATATCTTGATTCACTTAGTGGGGCTGGGTGGGTAGATGGATGCATTGACCTTCCTTACGAGGTCTGGCAACCAATCATTGCTGACAAAGTAAGTATCTCATCTTTTTATTCTTGTTCTTTTATATAACTGAATTTGCTTTCGTCTCAGGGAAGTAAGAAGTCCAAAGACTACCTTCAATGCAAGGACCGACCTTTTCCTTTATTTAACGACCTTGCTCCTTTGTTGGAGGGTCACAACGCAACTACCAAGTACACCAAAACGACGGTCAAGAAACCCGAAGCTCCACCTCCGGCAGCTTCCACTTCGACCATCGATCATGTCCCGGCGACTACGCATTCTCTTTCGCCAACCTCCTCCACATCCGACTTGCCCCTTGTCGACGATCCCGGCCATCCCAAGTCCGACAATGATCCTAGTTCAGATGACGCCCCATCCGCAAACCGACATGGTAAGTCTGCGGTGGCGCTCAAGGAACGTAACCCGGTTCGCAAGAAGAAACGAAGCGGTGTC